CTCAGCCTCCTAAGTAGCTGGGATTACAGGCACGCACCACCATGCCCAGCTAATGTTTTTGTATTTTTAGTAGAGACAGGGTTTCACCATGTTGACCAGGATGGTCTCAATCTCTTGACCTTGTGATCCACCCGCCTCAGCCTCCCAAAGTGCTGGGATTACAGGCTTGAGCCACCGCGCCCGGCTTTTTTTCTGTTAGTTTTAATATAAATTTTTGCTTTAGTATTTTTAGACAATCCTCATACACCATATATATATATATATATATATATATATATATATATATTTAAAGATGGGGTTTCACCATGTTGATCAGGCTGGTCTTGAACTCCCGACCTCAGGTGATCCGCCCGCCTTGGCCTCCAAAGTACTTGGATTACAGGCGTGAGCCACCACGGCCGGCCTGACAATCCTCTTTTTTTAAAAACATTTATATCCAAAGGTTCTTACCACACCATCACAGTCATAATCTTTTTGCTGTAACCTGCGAATCAGTTAGTTGTCTCCTTTAAAACATTTTTTTCACACATACACACGCACACACACACGAGAGACAGAGAATATATAGCATTGTTTTTGATGTATGAATGTGTGCTTCGGAACAAATGGTTTCATACTCTTTAAAAAAAGAATGAGATTCAAATTTTATAGTCCATGAAGTTTTACCGGAACACAGCCACGCTGGATTGCTTGTGTGTTGTTTATGGCTGCCTTTGTACTCCACAGTCACAGTATCCACTCACGACCACTTATTGTTGTCTTTCAACAGTGGCATATAAAATCTCTAACGGTTCATCTCACATCTAATGAAACAGACTCACACAGGCATAAACTTAGAAACCATCCTATGAACATAAACAGGTCACGCAGGGTCCCACACACCGAATCGGACTAGCAAACTCCCTCACAGCAAGACACACCCATCTGTTCAATTGCCAGAGACTGTTCCAGGAGCGCATACCCTGATAAACTGGTGGTGTCGCTCAGTTCATTTCCAGGGACCCTACCCCGGATTCCCCTGCTTGCTCAGGTCTAACTCCCCAGACACCTCAGTCCCATCTCCGCCTGTTCTAGATTCCAGAATGCGTTCCTCAGCGAAGGCTGAGAACCTTTTAATTCGCTCTCACTCAACAAAGACCCTCAAGCAAAGCCTAGAGCTCCCGGTCGTCTTCAGAAACCGCTTTTCACAGAGGAAGCCGAGTTGCATGCTGGGAGCATCCCTGCTCTCCCGGTTTCAACTTCCGGGGACTCGCCCGCTGTGGACTGCATTTCCCAGAAGTCTCCGGGACACAGGTCTTTTAGGGGCGGGGCGAGCTTGCCTGCCAGAAGCACTCCCCGTAGCTCAGCTCCCAGCCTGCGAGCATTTCCCAGCTCTTGTTTCCCATCAGCCTCTGGGTCCAAACTAACCACCGGGCTCCGGGTCCTCTAACGGCGTCCTCAAAGTTCTTGGATTCTCTGTGGTAAGTTGGCCGAGTGTGTAGAAGTAATCAGTCCGGGTGAGGCTGGGAGGGCTCGGCGGGCTTTACTGGGACCGGATTGGAAGCGGTAGTGAGGGTGGGGGTGATATCGGGGGCGCTGGGTCAGGGGAGGGCCGGGTCTTCAAGCCTGTGTGCAACGCGAGCAGCCGAGGGATAGTGTGTCTCAGACGGCGTGGCAGAGCCGGGGCGTGTCTCCGCGGAGGTGGGTGCAGTTGTGAATGTGTGACGGGGTGATGGGGTGCGTGGTCGTATTTGAGCAATGCTCTAGGTTCCCTTTAGTCTGTCTTTGGGCCTGCCACAGTTAAATGACCGCAAGAAAGAAGTCTATGCTAAGTCCCAGAATGAACGTTTCAAGCAAGAAGGATGAGAATTTTAGATCTGGAAGTGTCCTCGCGACAGGCTCTTGACTGGGGAAGTTCTAGAGGTACGATTCCGGTAAAGGCGCCTCTACGAGCTCTATGGTGACGAGATACATGTTTCAGGGCCATTGCAACCAGACCGCTGTCCCCAAGAATTGCCCTCAACACAGAGGCAGACTCTAGCCTCCCGTTTCGTTCCGTTTGGTTGTGTGTGGATGGAGGCAGAAGTGGCCCTAGAGAACGTTTTGTTCTCGTTTTGTCTTTTTAAATTAAGTCTGTGCTGTGCTAGAAATGCTGGTGTCTTATGTTGCTGTTCTTCCACAGTGCTGCGAGTTTGCCAGATTTCTAGATTTCTAAGGAGTTGGAAGAGGAGAAAAGGATTTTTGCATATTTAGAAACCAAGATTTGGGTGAGGTTTTTTATAAGTACAATTTTTTATACATATGCATTCAATTACCTTTGTTTCTAGGTCATGAGAACTTTTTCTTTCCTTGGCCTGAAATATCTTGACTGGGTCTTCCCGGTCAAATGACACGCCATGCTGGTACATATTTCCTCCCAATTACCCCCTGTTGTTCTTCTCCTCAATTCTTTCCCACCTGTTCATATGCCAAATTGTTCGAATTCTTCAGTGCATTATGATGGTATAGAAAGGCACCTCTTGTAGATTGCTGTTAGAGCTTTCTTTTGGACTGTGATTATTTGAAGAAATTAGTAATTAGGTGGTGTCATATACAGGCTATTTTTTTCATCTTTTCTGTAGTCATTATTAAACATTTTAAATTTTTTTAGAGATTAGGGTCTCACTCTATTGCCCAGGCTGAGTGCAGTAGTACAGTTATAGCTCACTGCAACCTTGAACTCCTGGGCTTAAGTGTTCCACTGGCCTTGGCCTCCCAAAGTGCTGGGATTGCAGTGTGAGCCACCACGCCTGGCCCATAGTCATGATTCTTAAAGCAAGGCAAGGTATGAGGGATTTTAAGTAAGGGAAAATTTCTGGCAATATATGACAATGTTGTCTGCTTTGTGAGGCTTTTAGTGGTGGAAATATGATTGAGCTTTGAGCGTAGAGATTTGTGGTTTGCACCAAGAGTGGGGACCTTCAGATAATCTTTGGGTAGAAGTCTGTAACATTGCCAAGCATGAATTGTTTCAAGTCCAGCTTTGTGTGACATGTAAGAAGCTGTCTTGTGTTGTAGTTAAAATTAAGGCTCTGGATCTAAAGTATCTGAATTCAAATCCTGCCTCTACCTGTTGGTAGCTGTGTGAACTTAGACAATTGATTCAGGCCCTCTGCGATACATCTATAAAATAGGGACAGAATAGTAGCTACCTAATGGAAGCGTGATGAAGTAAGATGAGTTATTATGTATGAAGCTTTCTAGAGCAGTGCCATCCCCATGATAGGGGCTTACTGAATATTGAGTTGCTGTTACTGAATATTGAGTTGCTGTTACTGGGCTTTTCTGGATTATTTCCCATCAACTTTTTATATATTAGAGTAATAGAAATGTGAAGTTGATTGTGATGGGTGCTTGCAAATTTTTTTAAAAAGCAACCAGATGCTCAAATGACCTCAGACAGGAAAACTTTTTTTTGAGGCAGGGTCTTGGTGTTTTGCCTATGCTGGAGTGCAGTGACATGATCGTGGCTCACTGTAGCCTTGGCCTCCCAGGCTCAAGGTATCCTCCCGCCTCAGCCTCCTGAGTACCTGGGACTACAGGTACGTGCCGTAAAGCCCAGCCAGTTTTTTTGTATTTTTTATAGAGATGGGGTTTTGCTATCTTGCCCAGGCTGGTCTCGAACTCCTGGACTCAAGCGATCTGCCTGCCTCAGACTCCTGAAGTGCTGGGATTACAGGTATGAGCCGCTGTGCCCAGCCTTAGAAGAGGAAATCTTAACTGAGGTCTCCTTGTTCCACTGACAAGCTTCCAGGTGACCAAAACCCCTTGAAATTGAGACCAAATTCTTGTAAATATATGTAAATGTGTTTTTTAAGTGGGCAAAATGTCAATAATTTCATGAGGTTATCAAAAGTGACCATGACCCAAAAAGATCTCACTCTGTTGTTCTGGAAAAAAGATTGTAATTTCAGGGAAGGAGCTTGAAAAAATTAGTGTCCAATAGAATGAAAATAGTCAAGTAAATTGCAGTATATCTAATGATGGAATGATATGCACCTAATAAAAATTAAGTTTGTAAAGAAAGGAAGGAGAAATATAAATGATGCAATTTTAAGGAATCGTTATAGTTATGGATGAAAGTGCTCAAGAATATTTTGTTACATATCAATCCCATCTAATAAGACAGGGCTTTGGAAGACATATTTTAAAAGATTACATCTAAAATGTTACTTTAATTGGTCATTCAGTGAAGAAGTAGAGAGGCGCACCCATACTTATTGAGCATCTACCCTGTACCAAATACTGTTCTCTTTATGCACATTTATTTTCTTCCTCAGACTTTGAAGGTGGTTTATCTGATTTGTGTGGATTTACAGGAGAATATTGACAGTGAACGTATCTCATTGCCAGGAGTAACAGCTACAGGAAGTTCAAGAGCTGGTAGGTGTAAATTGTTTCAGGCCCACTGATTTTTAGTATTGGCCCCATTTGTTCAATTTTCTTAATGACTGAAATATGTCCCTCCTGTCAGTTTTTTTATATTTGGAAATGTCTGTATTTCCAATTATGGAATTAATGCAGGCTTGGTCAAAAAAACTCAGCAATCAGGAGACATACAGAGAAGAAAGCTGAAAATCACATCCTCTAGAGTTAATCATTCTTAATGTTTTGGTGGTTTGTTTTTTGTTTTTTTTTTTTTACTTTTTTGAGATACTGTCTCACTCTGTCACCCAGGTTGGAGTGCAGTGGTGTGATATTGGCTCACTGCAAGCTCCACCTCCCAGGCTGAAGCGATCCTCCCACCTCAGAGGGAAGGTAGCTGGGACCACAGGTGTGTGCCTCCATGTCCGGCTAATTTTTTGTGTTTTTGATAGAAATGGGGTTTCACCATGTTTCCCAGGCTGGTCTTGAATTCCTGAGCTCAAGCAATCTGCCTCCTTTGGCCTCCCAAAGTGCTGGGATTACAGGTGTGAGCCACCACACACTTGGCACTTTGGAATATTTGTGTTTAAATCTTTTTTCCTTTGTGCCTATGGGTGTGTTTTTTTTTTCTGCAGAATAAAATTATTGTAATGGGTAATGTAAATGAGTTGAAGACTCTTTAGTTCTTAGTTTGAAAAAGAAATCCAATCCAGATCTAGGTTTTATGTTAATCTTGAATATTTAGAGAGAAGAGGGAAGTGTTAGTGAGTCCCTTATTTGAAAACCTTCAAATATTGACATCTTCTGGGATTATAGAAATGTCATTTAAAAATGAATTACCGGGCAAGAAAGAGTTTTAGAATTAGATTATTTTAAAGCTTACCTCTACAGACAATGGCAATAATCACCAGTATACAGCCATTTTACCAAAAATACATTTTATAGATAATATTTCCAAGGACAGGTATAAATGCCAGGAGGTAGAATCTAAGAAGGCTATGGTTGTAAATATTTAAGTAAACCACCAATTTGTGCAGAAGAACAAGATTGAGCCTCTGGTTAAGTTCTCAGCTTGACACCTAATCAGGTTGTATTTTCTGATGCAGCTCAGTGATGCCGAATCTCTATGTATCTTCTGGGAGGAAGTAGTATTTTCCTCTATATGTTTCTGAGGACCTTTTTTCTCACATTGTTATTTAGGAAGAATGGCAGGCTCAAGGCTGGCCTGTGAAATTTGAGTTAGCATTATAAGAAAGCATGTCTGAGAAGGACATATTTTACTGTAAGCAAAATAGAATACCATTAAGTTTCTTTGTTATAATGGGATAAGGGACAATAACATTCTTCATTTTCAATAATAATGATGAAAATGTGGCCAAGCCTGGTGGCTCACACCTATAATCCCAGCACTTTGGGAGGTCAAGGCAGGAAGATTCCTTGAGCTCAGGAGTTCGAGACCAGCCTGGACAACACAGTGGGACCCTGTCTCTACAAACAGTTTTTAAAAAGAATAATTAGCAGGGCAAGGTGTCATGCACCTGTGGTTCCAGGTACTGGGCAGGGAAGCTCAGACGGGAGGATCACTTGAGCCCAGGAGGTTGGGGTTGCAGTGAGCTGTGTTTGTGCCACTGCACTCCAGCTTAGGCAACAGAGCCAGACCCTGTCTCTGAAAAAAAAAATACAACTTATAAACAACTATCATATACCATTCACTATTTTGTATGGATTTCTTATTCTTCTGTGGTAGACATTGTTCTCACCCTTCTTATTGATGAGGAAACAGAAGTGTTGAGAAATTAGTAACTATAAAGCTCAAATTCACATCCTAAAGGTCTGACACCAGAACTTTTGATCATGCATGTCTTTCTTCATCAGTTAATATGAACCAACACCATCATAACTAATGAGGGTATGGCAGGTTGTAATTTATTAAACCTTTTGCTTACTATTATGTAGTTTCTCATTTTTAGTTATCAGAAATTATTTTTGGTTGAATATCCTTGTGTATTTATCTTGCGTGCTTCTTCTTTAGCTATTTTTTTTCTTTTTTCTTTTCTCTCTCTCTTTTTTTTTTTT